TACAATCCTTCTTTTGAGAGCTATTTAGGTCGTCCAATCTGAATGCTTTTTCCACCAATCGATAGAGAAAGATTTGCATCTAATGATATTAAGAGAGTTGAGATTGGACATCCAAGAGATGGACGACTGCTTGGGATCTGTTCCGATCAGATAGCTGCTTGGGATCTGTTCCGATAGCTGCTTGGGATCTGATCCGATAGCTGCTTGGGATCTGATCCGATAGCTGCTTGGGATCTGTTCCGATCCGACTAAAACCTGATCCAAAAGCTATGAAAGGCCAAAAGCCAAAAGCTACTCCAGCCTATGAAACGAATGAAGTTCTAAATTTTTACACAAACTCAATCTTGTAGATAAATGTTCGTAGATTTGAAATAACTAAACGAAAAACTTTCAGCTCTTTTGTTTTTTGAGAAAAGGATCCTTTTGTAGAGGGTAACACATTCGCATTCAGTTAAAAAGAAGTAAAGGAATTGTCAAGAAAGGGTAGCTTCCTGTAGACAGTTACAGTGTTAATTAAAATCAAAGTTTTCTTCACGATTTCACAGTTTTCCCTACAGTAAACCCAACCATTTTGTACTCCTCGTCTTTTTTGAGATGATCCGTGATATACTCGATCGCTTCGAGGGCCCTATAAATTGTTAGAAAATCATTGAAACGAAGAAAATCATTTTTTTTTTTAAATTATTTCAAATATTAGGTACTTTCAAAAGAAACTGTGGATTACTTTCAAAGAAAAAAGTTTTTTTATTTTTATTTGAAATGATTGAAATGAATAGATGACCCAGTTTCAATTGTATTTTAAATTGTATTCTCTTTCTAACGTAACCTTGTCTCTATCTGTCTCTATTTCTGTTCATTTCATCGCCTAAACCCTCCTATTTCTATTGGGTTGGTGAAATGAAAACTGCGGGCTATTGTCATACAGTGGTCCACAAATGTATTGTCCCATTGCCATCCAAAAGTTTCTTTCGTACGAAAATCTTGCAAAATAACGATATTCCCAAAAAGTGTAGGGTATTTTGCTTACCCATAATACTCTACTTTTCAGGATTATAAGATTTATCCGTATACATTGCAGAAAAATTAAAGTATAAAAGAAAAACAATAGGTTACTTAACAAATGGCTCCACAAAAGTAATGTCCCATTTGCAAAGAATTAACAATTTTTTCAAAAAATTAATATTTGCCTGGTCCTCCTTTTGCTTTTATCGCTTCATTGAGTCGATCCGGCATCGAATCCACGAGATTTTTCAAAAGACTTGGGCGGATGGTGGCCCAAAGACGTTGAATGTGAACCCATAAGGCGGCGTTCGAATCGAATTTCTTTCCCTTGAGGCGCGACTTCACAAATGACCACAAATGTTCAATTGGATCGAGATCCGGTGAGTAGGGAGGTGGATTGATCAATTTAACACGATTTTCCGCAAACCATCCGGGCAGACGAGCTCTGGTACCATTTTGAAGTGTCACCAACCGTCCCATCATCAGTCTCGACTTGTGTTTCGGGTCGTTGTCCTGGTGAAGCATCCATCCGGGAGGCATCGTTTGATTGGCAAAGGGAAGCATTTGGGTCTCCATAATATTCTTGTAAGCCACAGCATCCATCGTCAAGTTCACGTAGACTAACGGACCTAATGAAGTTCGAGACATCGCTCCCAAAGAAAAAAATTTAGGTAACAACATACTAAAAAGGTTCTTACCCCAACACATTATGTTTCCGCCGTTGAATTTCACGGTAGGCCGAATGTACTTGAGTGCATATCGCTTTCCAGTCGGTCGCCGAATAAGATGGTTTCCATCCGCGTGAAATAAACTGATTTTTGTCTCATCGGTAAATAACACTTTCGCCCAATCACGTGTCGTCCAACTTCGGTAGGTCCCGCAAAGTCAAGGCTCTGCTTCCGGTGCTTAGATTTTATCAGAAATTTACGGGCAGCCCTTCTTGCATATCATCCAGCTTGATTTAATCGTCATCTGATCGTTTCCGGCGATACAACCCTGTTAAATTGATCCTTCATCATTTGGCTTCCATCGGTTGGTGTTTTGTTAGGATCGCTTTTCACCATTTGGATCACGGCTCGATCTTCTTTTGTGGTTGTGATTGGTCGTCGGCCAATCTTGAGGCCTCGATGAAGGTTTCGGTCGACTTTTGATTGAGAAAGAATGCGGCGCACCGTCCTTCTCGAGCAATTGAAGAGGTTGGCCACATCCTTTTCCCGCATCCCATTTTCCCGGGCCTTGGCGATTCGGAGTGTCAAGGTTTTTCTTGCCAGCCATCTAAATAATAAAATAAAATACATTTAATGTTCATAGAACGCGAAAATAAAAAGAATAATCAAGGAAAACATCAATGGGACATTACTTTTGTGGAGCCATTTGTTAAGTAACCTATTGTTTTTCTTTTATACTTTAATTTTTCTGCAATGTATACGGATAAATCTTATAATCCTGAAAAGTAGAGTATTATGGGTAAGCAAAATACCCTACACTTTTTGGGAATATCGTTATTTTGCAAGATTTTCGTACGAAAGAAACTTTTGGATGGCAATGGGGGACAATACATTTGTGGACCACTGTATGTGACAGTTTGAGCACTTTCTTCAAAAGAAACCCATTTTGGTGTTCAGCCTAGCATGAGGTATTCAGTCTACATTAGCTGGATTACGGTATTTAGTCTAGATCAAGGTATTTAGTCTAGATCAAGGTATTTAGTCTGGATCAAGGTATTCAGCCTAGAATAAGGTATTTAGTCTACATTAGCTGGATTATGGAAAAAAAAAAGAAAAAGAAAAAAGAAAAAGAAAAAAAAGACTGAAAAATGAAAAATTCTTTGTGCCGGGGTCCTTTTATTGCGTCGGGTTACGGTAGTTTCCGACGTTTGGCGCGGAAACGTCTGAAAGGCAAAGTGTACGGTGGACGGTTTATTTTATTATTATTGCTTATTTATTTTTGATTCTTTTTGTAACTATTGTTTTTATACTATTTTTATATTATATTATATAAAAACTATTGTTAAATTATAGTTATATTATATAATATAACAGCTATTTTTATATTATATAATAACTCCGCATTATCGAGAACAACTAGACGATATCTATGAGGCTCATCTTCCAAGCTTTCATCTCCTTCACAAACGTCGAAACCACTCCTGGCAGGTCCTTTCACATAGAATATAACAGCTATTGTTATATTATAACCTTTCTCGACACCTTTCGCTTATTGGAAAAAGGAATCGTTGTGGCCAATGGGTCCCAAATAAATTATCCCCTGAAAACAAAGCCAATCGAGTTTTATTGTCTCAGATTGTATTGAAAAAAAAGCTATCAGCAGTGCTTTTTTTGAAAGCATGTCGACGATGGACGAAAAGTGGATATGTTTCGATAATACAACACACAAAAGACAATGGTTGAGCAAAAAGAAAGACCAATTCCGATATCACATCCAGATCTTCACGGAAAGAAAGTTATGCTGTCTTTTGGAATCGATTAGATCTTTTGATTGTCTCTTTTGAATTATAAAAATCTTCAAAAACTATCACTTTTCGAATTCCTACCAAATAGCTGAAGAAAGTTGATGAAATTCAACGAGAAAAAAGGTGTTAATCGAAGAATGGAAGAATGGAAGAATGGAAGAAGAATCGAACGATCCATTTGCTCACTGTCAATGCCCAGGCACACACATCAAACTTAGCTCAAAATATGATAGAAGAATTAGGCTGAAAAACTTGTGCCTCATCCGCCATATTCGCTTGTTATTGCTCCATCAGATTACCATTCGTTCCGATCTATGAAACACTCTTCGCAAATCAAATCAAATCAAATCAATCAAATCAATCAAATCAAATCAAATCAAATCAAATCAAATCAATCAAATCAAATCAATCAAATCAATCAAACAATTCTGAACAATTCTAAAGAAGTAGAAATTTGATTATAAGACTACTTTGCGGTGCGGGGCTCCAAATTTTTCGAACCAGCCATTCAAAATCTACGCAAAAAATGGAAAAGCATAGTTGCTAAAAATGGTGAGCATCTTTTGGAATAAAGTTTTTTTTTCTTATTGATTTTTGAGTTTTTCGAATGTTGTTTATAAACCGGAGTCTTTTATAAGTACCAAATATTAGATCTAAATGTAATTTGGCATCAAATCAGCCAATGAAATCATTTTTCGCAAACTTTGATGCTTCTGGAGTGAGCGGGCACATCGTGGCGCTCATCGGGTCCATTAAAGCGTTCATGCCAAGGATTTTCGTTCTAAAAAAATGAATTTAGAGCTAGATAGCTGATAAATTTACATTTAAGAGCTATCTAGCTATCTAGCTATCTAGCTATCTAGCTATCAGCTTACATGTAAGAGCTATCTAGCTATCAGTTTTTTGTGTCATCTGGGACACAGGGATGAGCCAGTTCAATAACCCAGGTTCAATTACCCATTTCCATTAGAAATTCTATGATTTCATTCCATTTTCAACCTTGAATCAGCACTCGGGCAAAACGGATGATGCGGCGTGGAGGAGACGGGAAATTCGCCGATTCCCAGTGCTCTCAACGTGTTGACTAACTGAATTTTAGGTCAAGATTTATGTATTTTATATAGATTCATGTATTTTATATTTAAATCTATAGATTCGGCATGTTATTAGACTTCTTTTTTCCATAAAAACCCAGAGATTTTGAATTTCAAAGAAAATTTATAAATTCATTTATTTTCAACAAAGAAACAAACGAAAAATCAGAAACAAAATGGGATATTTTCCAAATGAATTTATAACTTTTCTCTAACGTTTTGATAGCTTGTCAATCCATCTTTTGTAAAACCTAAGAAGACGCAAGTGAAAATAGTCGTTGAGACAATAGTTGTTTAATCCAGTCCGTTCAATCCAATCCGTCCAATCGTTTGCACTCATCTTTGAACTTCTTGAACACAGAAATCTTTTAGCGACAAGAAAAAGTGATAGTCTGGAGAATACGGTGCATGAGAAAGGATATTCTTCTTCTTCTCAACGTCTAGAGAATACGATGCATGAGAAAGGATATTCTTCTTCTTCTCAACGTCTAGAGAATACAGTGCATGAGAAAGGATATTCTTCTTCTTCACAAAATCGTTCACAAGGTTCGTTCGTTCGTTCTTCTTCACAGAATCGGTCGATCTTTCTGATTTGTGAGAGCTTTGCGCCATTCTAAAGAACGAAAACGAGACCATTCCATTTGTTTTCATAGAGAAACCATCGGACTTTTTTTATTCGATTTTTTACATATGACGTAGATAAACGTCAGTGTTGAAATTTTGCCTCGATTTGAGAAGTTCAAAGAAAAGGACGCCTGTCGAACACCAGTAGACACACAGCATTCGCTTCTTTCTGTGGATTTTCCGTTTTTGCATCATTTTCCCTACTTGCCCTTTCTTCAACCACTGCCATTGTGACACAATCATAGAAAATCCACGTTTGATCGTGAGTGATGATGTTTGAAAGAGGAAGCTGACCATGCTGATATTCGTTTCACAAATGGTGGCATGTCCGCTTTCTTTTTGCTTGGACTTTTTCCAACATTTCGTATGGGATTTAGCGTTGTTTTCTTCAATTTCTTCCCACTTTTTGTAGCCATCACACAGTCATTCGTCCACAGTAACATCCAGCCAATTTCCGGGATGATCCATCGGGGTTTTCGGGTTGATCCATGGTTTCGCAGGAGTCGGTGCCTCAGAATCGATCCTCAGATCGATCTGCTTTCCGGGGGTCAGCCGTTTCCCCTCTTCAGTTTGATCCTCTTGTTGCCCGTTTTGAATCTGTGAAACCATTCCTATGCAGTACTCGTTCCAACGATTTTGTTGCCATAAAATTGATTGATTTCTCGTGCTGCTTTGGCCGCTGAAATCCCTCTTGAAAATCATTGGAGCAGTAGAGCGTGGCTTTCTTCTCGAGTTGACTTCATTCGATCGGCTTCAACTCTCTTCTCGTGTCGATTCCTAAAAAAATGAATATTAGTACAAGAAAGAAGAAAGTTTAAGGATAAAAAAGAAAAAAAAGAAAAATACAAAACGTTGTGTTGTGAGCGAGAGTTAATTAATGAAAACAAAAATCTCTGGGTTTTTATGGGACAATGAAATCAGATAAATTTCGATACTTTACATATAAATACATTACAATTTTCCTTTTTCTAAACTCACTTTCGCATTTGCTCTTTTTTTTAACGTTTTTGGGCGGCTCATGCACAAAATGTGAGGCATAATCTGGAAAGAAAAAGATTATGATTAGAAGACTCTTTAAAAGACTAAATCTTTAAAAAAAAATTTTAGCTAACACAAGCTTTTCAGAATTTCTTAAAGAGTAATTTGTAAATAAATAATAGCTGACAAACAAAATAAAGCTTGATTAGTTTAACTTTTGATTTTAAAAAGTAACTTTTTAAATTTTGTAGACGAACCAAATTTTTAGACAAAAGGAACCAAATTTTTAGACAAAAGAAACCAGATCTGTAGACAAAAAGAAGCAAATTTGTAGACAGAAGGAACCAAATTTATCCAGAAAGAGGAACCAAATTTAGATAGATAAGGAACCAAATTTAGATAGATAAGGGACCAAATTTAGAGAGATAAGGGACCAAATTTAGAGAGATAAGGAACCACATTTAGCTAAGCCTAGGTTTAGCTAAGCCTTTTTGAGAGATAAGGAACCAAATTTAGCTAAGCCTAAAAATTGTAGACAAAAGGAACCAAATCTGTGAACCAAATTTATCCAGAAAAAGGAACCAAATTTAGGATAAATAAGGAACCAAAATTGTAGACAAAGCGGATAAGACTTTTTGTTTTTGTCAATCTAATAGTAAGAAAAATCGCTGAAATCGCTGAAATAGCTGAAATTAGCTGAAAACTTGAAAAATGTGATATAAAGCTCGACAAGAAACGATAAGTGGATAAGTGACCAAGTAGAGTTTCGTTTTTTTTTAAAAGATACCTTTTTTAGAATAAAATATCATAAGTTTTCATTTCATCAGCTCAATTTTTGACTTATGCTTTTGAGGCTTGAGATTTTGAGGCAATTGTTGATTGAATGATTGAACAATTGAGTAATTGAACAATGAACAAACAATGATACAAAAAATTGAGCTAATCAAATGAAAACTAGCGATTCGATTACATTGTAATAGAATCGCTAATTCGTTTCCCAAAAAAGATATCTTTTAGTGATCTTCATCAAGTTTTTTCATCAAACAAACATCAAACAAACCTCCAAAAACAATCGTCTAACCCATGCGGGCATCCGGTGCGTGATCGGGCCACGAAAATACACATTTATGATGATGACAGTGACGAGAATTGTGATCACGTTTAAGACGAATGTCAGAAGAAGATATCTAAAAAGAATTTTTTCTTTAAAACTCTCAAAAAAAAATCTGATTCTTGACTTCTTTTTTGGGTGGACTTTATGCTTAAATTGTGTAAAAAAGTCTTTCTGCTTTTCTTTCATCCAAAAAAGAAACCAAAACCTTTCATCTAAAAAGAAAGCTAGAAGCTTTGATCCAAAAAAGAAACCAAAACCTTTCATCCAAAAAGGGAAATCGTTACCAAAACCCTATCGATTCCAAGATACAGCTCACTCTTTAAAAAAAACAGTTTCCAATCTAGCTTTATCAGATCTTACTCACATATTTCTCAACGAAAATCGAGATTTGCTAAAAGTAAGCGGATCCAGCAGCTCATCGACTCATTTTTTCTGAGTTTCTGAGTTTCTGAGTAACTGTAGTCGTGTAGGAAACGGGTTATCGGGCTTAAAACAATGAATCAGCTGATCGTTGGCAGCATTCCGATCAACTTTGAAGCTTTTAAAAAGGGATCGACGAATGACTTCTTCCAAAATTGAATCCCAAGCATCAGCAACCCATTAAGGAGCTTTTTAAGTAGCTTTTTAAGGTAGATTCCAGGGGTTTTTCCCATATTTTACGCGTTCAGGTGCTTGCATTAAAATCTAATTCTCGTAAATATTCAGCGAAAAGGAGACACGGTAATTACGGTAGTTGTTGATATCAAATCAAACCGGGAATCAAACCCGAATCGCGTATACAAGAGAGACAAGCGCGCTTCCATTGAGTTAAATAGATGCGTTAAACAGATAAAAATGCGACAATTAGCTTTTAAGTTAATAGCTGATAATTTCGATAATTTTCCAGCAATAGGAACTATAAAGGAACTAAATAGGAACTATAAAGGAACCATATAGGAAGTAAATGGGAACTAAATAGGAACTAAATAGGAGCTATAAAGTAACCAAATAGGAACTATAAAAGAACTAAATAGGAACTATAAAGGAACTAAATAGGAACTATAAAGGAACTAAATGGGAACTATCAAGCAAACAAATAGCAACTAAATAGGAACTATAAAGGAACCATATAGGAAGTAAATGGGAACTAAATGGGAACTAAATAGGAGCTATAAAGTAACCAAATAGGAACTATAAAGGAACTAAATGGGAACTATAAAGTAACCAAATAGCAACTAAATAGGAACCATATAGGAACCATATAGGAACCATATCGGAACCAAATAGGAACCAAATAGGAACTATACAGAACCAAATAGGAACTGTAAAGGAACCAAATAGGAACTATAAAGTAAACAAATAGGAACTATTAAAAAACCATTCCTTTACAGATTTGAGCTTAAAATACGCAAAGATTTGCTTTCTTTTTGCTGTACTTTGGGCTCAAATACGTCAAAAAAATCCTTTCTAATGCACACAAAACCCTTAAAAAACCATAAAACCATACTTTGCCATCAACGGGATCGTGCTCGATGTGGGCGGGAGAATTTTCGACACCAACAACAAAAAGACGACAATCGAGAGAAGGACGGAGATCGTCAGGGTGATTTTTTCGCCTAAATCGTTATTTAAAAAAAAAAAAAAGACTAAGACTAAGAAAAAAGACTAATATTTGATTGTAAAGAATCACCGGAATCAGTCGGCAAAAAGAAAACGGCCATCGAGAGAAAAGCCATCAAAACCGTCGGAATGATGAGGACGACCGTGTAGAAAAGGGTTTTACGACTGAAAAAGTTTTTTCTCGTGATTTTCTCTACCGTAATCTTGTCGCAATTTTGTCTCAATTTTGTCTCAATTTTTGCCGCAATTTTCTACCGTAATCTTGTCTCAATTTTTGTCGTAATTTCTACAGTAACCTTGTCTTTCTTTTTGTCGTAATTTGTCTACCGTAATCTCGTCGCAATCTTGTCTCAATTTTTGTCGTAATTTCTACAGTAACCTTGTCTCTCTCCTTGTCGTAATCTCTACGGTAATCTTGTCTCAATTTTTCTACCGTAATCTCGTCGAAATCTTGTCTTTCTTTTTGTCGTCATTTCTACCGTAATCTTGTCTCCCCTTTTGTCGTAATTTCTACAGTAATCTTGTCTCAATTTTGTCGCAACTTTTGTCTTATTTTCTACCGTAATCTTCTCTTTTTTTGTCGTAATTTGTCTACCGTAATCTTTTCTCAATCTTGTCTCAATTCTTGTCGTACTTTCTACCGTAATCTTGTCTCAATTCTTGTCGTCCTTTACCGTCCGCGCCTTTTTTCCTCTCGTCCTTTCCGAATCTGTCTCAATCTGCGCTTTCTACCGTAACTCTTCTTCTTGTCGTAATTTCTACCGTAATCTTGTCTCAAACTTGTCTCAATTCTTGTCGTACTTTCTACCGTAATCTTGTCTCAATCTTGTCTCTCTTGTCGTCATTTCTACCGTAATCTTGTCTCCCTTTTTGTCGTAATTTGTCTACCGTAATCTTGTCTCAATCTTGTCCCTCTTCTTGTCGTCATTTCTACCGTAATCTTGTCTCAATTCTTGTCGTACTTTCTACCGTACTCCCCTCCTTACCGTATCTTTATCTCGAACTCGACTCGACTCCTTTGATCAACAAGAAAAGCCGGCGCATCCATGATATCCCAAATCGAAGACACAGAATATTCTAGAGCCGAAGTTTACTAGCAAACAGCAAAACTAGCAAACCCTTGCAAACGCACCCTTTCTAGTGGACTGTATTCCCCAATTTTCTCGTCAAATCAAGGCCTTGTTTCAAGGGAAATGGGGAATTGAGTGCAAGAGGAAGGGTGTGTTCAGGGTCGAGCACAAAGTACACAAAAATGTACACAAAAAACTACCTGACAAATCGACATATTCAGCTTTTCCGAACTCGAGAATCACCTCGTTTTTGTTGTACTTAAAAGTTGTTGTACTTTTTGTTGTACTTAAAAGTTGTTGTACTTTGTTGTACTCAAAAGCTGTTGTACTTTGTTGTACTCAAAAGCTGTTGTACTTTGTTGTACTTAAAAGTTGTTGTACTTTTTGTTGTACTTTAAAAGTTGTTGTACTTTGTTGTACTTAAAAGTTGTTGTACTTTGTTGTACTTTTTGCTGTACTTTTTGCTGTACTTTGTTGTACTTTAAAAGTCAAATCTCTCACCGTCCACGATCCAAAAATGAGATGACAGATCTGTTCGTCGAATGGGAAATACTCGACATCTGAATGGTTGCTTTCCTTTTTATTCCCCTTTTGTCTAGTCCTTTTTCTAGTCCTTTTAATTCCCCATCAAATAATAAAGAAAAAAAATGACTGATTGATTACGGTAGTTTTCAAAAAATAGCCCCTTTTTCCCTTTTCCCGTTGGATCAACCTTTGAACTTAAATATCTTCGTGTTGAGCTGTCCGATTTCAATATTCTTAGTACCATTCGATTCGCCAAATCTTTCTCTATCGATTGATACCAAGAACATACAAATTGAATAACCCAAAGCCAAGAAATTCGAGGCTAAAGTTGGATGCCAATATCAGACATTTACTTTTGTCAGCCAACTTTAGGCTCAATTATCTTGGCTTTGGGTTGTCCAATTGAGATGTTTTTGGTATCAATCGATAGAGAAAGATTTGGCGAATCGAATGACACGAAGAATGTTGAGATCGGACAACTAAAAGCCAAGAAATTTGAGTTTAAAGTTGAATTGCTGACGGGAAAAGAGCGGGAACGTTGCTCAAATGTCAGAGAATCTAAAAATGAAGTCTAAAAGAAGGACTACGGTAGTCTTACAATTCAAATCATCTCACCAATAATACACGAGCTTTTATAAATTGCCGGCGGAACCCAAAGCATTTGTCCGTTATGCTCGATGACAACATTGCATTTGAAAGAAACCTCGTACGTGCCATCAGCACTGAAAAAAGTCGAAAGCTTTTATACGATAAGGATTACTGTAGCTAGAGATTACTGTAGCTAAAGGATTAATGTAGCTCAGCTTACTGTAGCTAAAGCCTACTGTAGCTAGAGCTTACTGTAGCTCAGCTTACTGTAGCTAGAGCCTACTGTAGCTCAGCTTACTGTAGCTAAAGCCTACTGTAGCTAGAGCTTACTGTAGCTAAAGCCTACTGTAGCTAGAGCTTACTGTAGCTAGAGCTTACTGTAGCTAAAGCCTACTGTAGCTAGAGCTTACTGTAGCTAGAGCTTACTGTAGCTAAAGCCTACTGTAGCTAGAGCTTACTGTAGCTCAGCTTACTGTAGCTAGAGCCTACTGTAGCTCAGCTTACTGTAGCTAAAGCCTACTGTAGCTAGAGCTTACTGTAGCTAAAGCCTACTGTAGCTAGAGCTTACTGTAGCTAGAGCTTACTGTAGCTAAAGCCTACTGTAGCTAGAGCTTACTGTAGCTCAGCTTACTGT